AGATAGATAGATAGGTAGATAGATAGATAGATCGAAAGTTTGATGGCTAGACAGATTGATTGATAGATAGATAGATAGGTCGATAGATAGATGGATAGATAGATAGATAGATACATAGATAGATAGATAGGTCGATAGATAGATGGATAGACAGATAGATAGATAGATACATAGATAGATAGATAGATAGACAGACAGACAGATAGATAGATAGATAGATCAGATAGATGGATGGATGGATGGATGGATAGATAGATAGATTGATTGATTGATCGATCGGTCGATCGATCGATAGATACAGAGATAGATAGGTAGGTCGGTAGATAGTCAGAGAAAGAGAGAGAAAGAGAGGAGACATCAATCACCTTTCGATCCATCAGTGGCTTCGCTCTGCCATTCCGGATTCACAACAACCAACCTTTCCTATAGGTTTCCTATTTTTTGAAACTTCCGCCACCGCCTTGTGCGGTACTACTGGTAGTTATTGTTATCACGACTATAATGAGTTCTTAGTGTCTTTATTAAGATATCTCATTCCATGTCACAAGGATCAGAACGAAGGCATTCCCCACAGCTACAGGTGTGAGTATTGCATAAGCGGCGTGCATCCTGTGGGCAACCTTTCTGCGCCTTGACCCGGAATATGTCGAGGTCTCCTATGGATGGTACCTCCAAATCATCCCATTTTAATAAGATTTTCATGGATTTTCCATTATGAATTATGAACCATTGTACCACCATTTCAGGAACCCCCCTATACGCGTTCTGCATCCTGTAAGAGCCCAGGAGCTCCGAGGAAGTTCTGGATATGTTTGTTTCAAGTGTGCAAGCCGAGTGACACCGCTTCAAATCGTGCGTTTTCGTTTGAAAACCGGGTGAGACTTTGATGTTCACCCGCAAGTCTGTCACGAAGCAGTTTCTATCCCTGGGATCAATGGCCAGAGATGCCAGAGATGTTACCCTCTAAGGCCACATTTTAAATAAGGCAGTATCCTGTTGTATGCTGCTTGCATAATGTTCATGTTTGCATGTTTGTGGGTGTTACAACTCAAACATCTAATACTTTATCATATTTTTTTATATACACATTAATCCCTTCCTCCGAATACTAAACGTCCCCCCCTCCCCCCCTATTAATAAACACGGCAGGTAGTTTTTAGTATTAGGGTGGTATTTATTATTAGGGTACCCTATTAATAAAATTAAACCCTTAATAAATAAAAAAAAATTTTCCGATCTCAAAATCAATTAAAATTCTTTATATAGCGCAATTAAAATATTGCCAAAAATTGGATTTCGAAGCTTCCCCCTAATATTAAATTAAAACCCTGAATAATAAAAACTATGTTTTTCGATCTCAAAATCAATTATTGTTTTTTATATAACGCAATTAAAATATTGCCAAAAATTGGATTTCGAAGCTTCCCCCTAATTGATATTAAACTAAAACCCCTAATAATTTTTTTTCCGATTTCAAAATCAATGAAATTTCCTTATATAACGCAATTAATTAAAATATTGCCAAAATTGGATTTCGAAGCTTCCCCCTAATACTAAATTTAAAGCCTAATATAAAAAATAAGAAAAATCGGACAGACCCTAACAATAATCACCCCGGGGTTGACTAGTTTTTAGTATTAGGGGGGAAAACCCACAAATGATAGCTTGATTTAAAAAATTGTTTTCTAAAGGGGATCAATTAAAAATCAAATTGGCCAATCTGAAATTTTCTGAAACTGTAGATGGACGCCTGTTTTAGTATTTGGGGGACGTTTAGTATTAGGAGGAAGGGATTTTACAGAATATTATATATATATATACTTATAATATATCATGTGTGTGTGGCGTTGGGTCCCTAATTCCTGCTTAAAATCTAAGTTGTGCCACGGTGAAAACATCCCACCCTCAAGAGTGGAGACGTCAACCGCCGTATGATGGGAACAAAGCCAATGTTTTTCATCATGCCACATGTTTAAATAAAAAGGAGGAACAAAAACATGTTTCCCCGGATGGTCTTTGCGATCTTCTCCGGTTTTGTCAGGAGTTGTTCCAAGGGTTTACTCCGCTGGTTTGGGTGTCTTGGCAAGAGATAATCAGGGATCTGTAATCCTATGCCCCCAACATTAGTAGGGGGGTAAATCACCAACAAAGAGGGTTTACCCTTCAGGGGATCTGATTAAACCATAAAAAACGAGCTCTTCGTTATCAAGAAAGGGAGTTTAATTGACGTGTTTAATCATCCCCAAATGGGGGATATTATGATATAATATGTAGCCGCTAAAAGAACTGCCACCATTTTTTCGGGACCGCAACATGAATAGATCCAATACTAAACCACGAAATGGATGAGGTTGAGGTAACGAGAATGGATGTCATGTGACAGTGCCATATTTTGTGCCAGAAATCACGCGTCTCTAAAGAAGTGAATGGAGTTCAGTTTCCTGCTTGTTCATGCTTCATTGAAGAACAGATGACATATGGGATGGCAGACACAGTCAAAGTCCCATGCTTTATCGTCATTTTCCTCATCAATTGATCTAGTTGAATCTAGTTGTCAAACTGATTGAAATCGGGTATGGTGCATTTTTTTGATAAATCCATTTGGTGGTGGATTGGATTTAGGTATCGTTCTGTCCACTCACTTTTTTTTCATTTTGTGTGGGAGGTAAATGAAAATATAAGCACCCAGTCAGTTCGGATACAAAGAATTTTGGGTAAGTTGAGTAAGTTCTAGATGGTATAGGCCTCGGCTTTGGATTTGAATTTGTCCTGAACCGGGTTTCGGTATTCCAACGAACAAGAATTGGAACCATGTTGGAACATAGTGCAACAAGGAGCCCATTCGGTTTACGTTGCAGGTAGCTGCTGACGGGATGAAAGGGGATGTGGGATTCACCCAATGCCATGTTGACAACTACCATGGCCGGGGATGGTTAAAATGGTTAAACAAAGACCAGTTTATTGTCAGTCGATTTTTTTTATCTCGCATCGGGTTTGCTGACACACCTCCAAATCCTCCCTATGTATCCCAAATCGACTTAAGTTGTGCTGGGATGATCGTAAATTTACAGTAGGAGATGGATGTAAAGCAACCCGGGGACCCCTCCCGATAGAAACGTGTTTCCAGGATGAGGACATCGGAAAGAATGAAGGCAAACATGGCAAGCCAAGCAGCAAATATACACTTTAGCATCGACCTGCAAAGCTTGGTCAATGAATTAATATTATATAATATATTTGCGTATAATAATTGATTGTGATGGATTTTACTGGATTACAATGGATTATGATGGATTGTAATGGATTTTGATGGATTATAATGGACCATAGTCTTTGCAAATGTTGGTGTTTTTAGCGCCCAGCAGTTCTGAACTGCACGAAAATGTTTGCAGAAAGGCCATTGTTGCACTGAAGACGCTCAACTGCATCATCATCCCAGCGTGCCTGAAGTACGCGGACAACATCCTCTACGGCTATGCCAAGCCTCTCTCCATCGCCCCTAGGCGGTTCATGGCCACACCAACTCAGGGCAGGGCCCAAACTGGCCAGTTCTTAATTGGAAGAATTGGTGATGTTGCTGGCTCAAGAATCTCATCACCCGAAATGGATTGAAATGGATGGTTTATTCGTGTTTATATATTCTATTCAAAAATTTTTCCTGTGCTGTTTTCTCTGGCTATTAAATTAATTCATATGTGATGCAAATGCAATAACACACGGGTATCTTCACATTGCACACACTTCGATCACCACGTTCATTGATCTCCAGAAAAAGCCTGGCCACTTCGCATGTTGCAACGGATCTATCGTTGACTGTGCGGTTGCAACAAAGGGATGGTGTCTCTATGATATCATAATTTCATATGGTAACATATTATAGCACTGTATACTTGATTTGTATACTCTTCAGAAAATTTAGAGAAACATGGGAGACACCCATTTTTAGATGATTATCCATGAAACGCTAAAATTTTCAGCCAGCCATGTGACAAAATGACCAGAAGGTAACAATGATCCCAGTCTACAGGAAACCGTATCTTGGTGGGTAAATACTATGGTTTCCGCTTACGATGTTCTGTTAAATTCATTGACATGAATTATATAAACCATTATAAACCATTATCCCCAATATGTTTTAATTGGTTACAACCACATAAATCCATCACTTCCATAGCTTGAGCCCTTCCAAAAGCCGAGGTTTTGACGACGGTGGTGACTGCCACGATCAGCTGGCAGGTGCCATCCCCAGTGATGCTGACAGGCATCAGCCTGGTAGCGACCTCCATCGTGACCTACAGCCGCGGCTGAAGCGGGGAGCTTCGGGGAGATGCGGCCATGGTGAGGCGGTGAGCGACAAGCGTTGGACATGTGATGGGTAAATCAGCAACAACAACAGCAGCAGCAACAACAACAACATCAACATGGTGAGATAAGTATGTTACAAGCTGTAAATTGGAAACGTAGCAACACAGCTTACTAAACAGAGGCAGTTTACCCAATACGTGGGACAGACCAGGAATGACAAACTCGGATTGATTTCACTAGGTATCAAGCAGTTCCTAACTTGGAGGCGCATCCAAGTGTTGACTCCACAACTTGCCGCGGGAGCGATGGGATGCTTTGGAATGGCCATTGGATTCCATGGTTTTTTTCAGCTGACACATTGAGATCGACATCCATTGAGCAGATTTGATGCCATTAACCAGTGGATTCCATTTCACTTTGCCGATTCGGTTGCCATTCGAAAGCATTTCCGGCAATTTTAGGCGCAATACCGTAGGAACTTGCAGCACCTGCCGGCAGCCGAATGGGACCGCAGCCTGCAGCGAGAAATCCCATCACTGCGCGCCCAATGTCCTGGCATTGGATGAAGCATCTACATTTGGTTTTGGAACCGTGAACGCAGTGAACACAATGCTTGTTTGCATTTTTCTCTAAGAAACTGAAAGGATTTGAAACATCTGAAACCATCACAGTTGCACACTTCAGCCCTTTGGTTTCCATTGACGCACATGTTAATGGCCACAGGGAACTCCCGAAAGGTAATCAAGGCAGGTAGCTTTCGCTTGCTCCGGCTTGCTCCAAGAGTTGTTGTTTCAGCATAGTTTGGGTCTGGAGGCAAAACACATACCTCGTTTATCCTTTTTTGTGATGTTTATATAAAACTATAAAACTGCCCAGTAGACACATCCAGACAGTCCCACCAAGAAATCTTCAGATCATTCTGACCAGACAGTCGAATCTAGAAATATATTGGAAACAATGGGATAGAGTCATAAGATACCTAACATCTCAAACAGTACCCAGTGTCAACTCCAACCTCTTCATGACAACCACATCAGTTCCGCATCATTCAAATCCATGGTGTAGCACATGTGTTTGGTCGCAAAAAAGTCGGGACTCTCAGCGCTGGGGCGTGTCGCTCGGTCGTTTTTTGTCCCCTCTGGATGCAGAAAAATAGGTAAAGTGGGAACTCCACAAGACATATATAGACATACAGTATTATGCCGCAGGCGTAGGCTCCCATGCAGACGGCGTGGGCATTGGCGTAGGCATTGGTGTGGGCATTGGCGTAGGCTCGTTTTGGCCTACACTGCGTAGGCTTTGTGTAGACATGCGTTGGCAAGAGTTACAACTCATTCATTTTGCCTTGGTTAGTTGTGATATTTGTGGTTTGTGGCTTCAAAGCGTCATGCCACAATCGAAAACAAAAGAAGGCATGGCCGCGTAGGCAAAGACTACACGGCGCAGGCTCGCGTTCACACCCTTAAAAGCCATACCCCACAAAGGCTACCTCATGCAATTTCGTAGGCTCGGCTCGTGGTTGTTTTGTTTTTCCATTTTTCCCGTTGATGGTACTCATGGTACCGTAGCATAGCAGATATGTGCAGATATGCGTAGCGCATTTTTCGGCAACCTTAGCTTCCTGCAGTACGGCGCTTTGCTGCAACAGTTCAAGTCATTGGCTTTATTTATGTATCCCTTGGGGACTTTCCATGCTATTTTAAAAATGATTCAAACTATGATGATATGTTTTCAAGCCACCAGCCGGATGAGAGATTGGGTGGATTGTAATAGTTTTCCGCTGTTCAAGCGTTTGACTTTGACCAATTGCTTTGGAACTGCACTGCTTTCAGCAAGTGGGGGCGATATGGGGCGATATGTTCAGTACGACGTAGCTGGAAGATTCTGGAACCACAACAAAAGACCTTGGAATGCGGTCTTTCTGTTACCCTCTGGTAAACTAACATAACTATGGAAAATCACCCTTTTCAATAGGTAAATCCACTATAAATGGTCATTTTCGATAGCTATGTTAAATTACCAGAGGGTAGAATCCGCAATTGGATGCAATTGGTGTTTCTGTCCACTACATTCCAAGCGATTTCCATTGCTCCTCCCACGAACCTGGCAAGGCCCTATAGCAGAAATGGGGCAATGGACGCAAGAGGCTTGCGGGATCCCGCCCAACAAGAGGCTTGAGTTTCTGGGGGTTTGGTTATAGATACACATTTTTGGGAAGGTCTGAAGGTCCATGGAGGGAATTACAAAGACCGCCAGTGTTACAACATGGAGGGTCACCGCAATAGTTTTTTTCTGAGTTCGCGAAAGTATTTGTTTTATTTGGCGAAAAATATGGCGAAAGTTTATCTTTATATTCTTGATGAGGTGGCTAAACCGGCTTAACCTCTTATTTTCATTTGTTTTCCTAGGCGAAGGGAGGACCGTTTGACCTGTTAATGACAGGCATAGAATAGACCCAAGTAAGTACTACCCAAGTGGAGCTGAACCCCGAAACACAATTCAGGGTGTGATTTTTTTGGTTGATTTGCAAAGGATTTTCCGCGACAGTTTCGCGAAAGTTCCGCAAAAGCAGTGCCGAAAGAGAGCACCAGTAAGATTGCTTGAGGGGGGTTCATAATAAGATTCCAGCATGTCTATAACCACCAGACATGGATGATTGAGCGTGAAAGAAAAGACCCATGTTCAATCTTGTCGCTCATTGGCACTCACTTTTTCACCCTTAACACCCATATGCCGAATACATTCTTTTGGGAGACTAAGATGGTGGGAGGCGGTTCCGAACATTCCTGCCCTCTCATCCCTGAAATGATCCAGACAAGTTATGATGATGCGTTGGGGGCCCTGGGCAGGGATGCATTGCGCAATGACTTTCACAAATGATTGTGATGCATGTCTTGAGAAAAATATGAGATGGATCCTGCAGAACAGGATAGGACCCATGCCGAACAAAAATGCACACGAATTCTACCGTCCCAGTGTGTCAATTTTCGGGCGATAGCGGCCGGCCATAGTTTACCGTGTTCCCTGTGGAAATTCTGGGTTGAGCATTTCACGGCCACAGGCAGTGCTTCAGTTCCGCAATGCTCGTAGGTGCAAGAGGGTGGACATCAAAGTTTGGCCAGAGATGACGTTTCAAATACAGCACACACACAATGCCTTTTTTTTGTGGAGATGCCCCAAGCAAGAAGAGTGTTGACCTAGTCTTTGGCACATGTTCCAAGCATAGGTTTGCTACTTACAAGTGGCTGTTGTATTGTATGTTCTCAGTTGCTGATAGGTTCCTGCTTTGAGACACTATGCATAGGTGAAATCCAGGTGAAAAAATCATATAAATTCAATCAACAAGTTGCTTTGGGTTCGACACCTACCACTCTAAATCGCCGACCCTAGCCGACCCTATCCGCCCATCCGAATGCAATGATTTATTTCCAAGAAACAGACTCCAACAGTCTGGGGGTTTGGGAAAGGCTTAGTGCAGTTGCAGTTTACTGTGCATTTTGTATGATCTTTTGGTATAGATTGATGCAGTTGTTGCAATATATATTCGCAAAATTTCATGGCCAGCTTGAAAGGGATAACGGAGTTTTTTCAAGCGTGTATGAGACGCAGCTAAGACGGGCAGGTACCCCCCCAAACTGACTACTTCGTATATTCTGCTCAGAGTCTGTATGTATGACAACGGGTTGTTCTGCAACTCCAGCTCAGCAACCCCAATCTGAATGGATGGAGCCCTTCACATTACAAATTAACATTGACTTCTGAATCAGATGAGTTCACTATGTATGCGCATGTACAACTATATCACTGCATACCCCGTGCATGCATACATACACATATTTATATATATATATATATATTTAATTGTGATTGTATGACATATTCATTACATGTATATATATATATAAATTGTTTACTTATATTTAAATATATATATATATTCATATATAATGCCATTTGCACATGCAAATAGATATGCATGCGCACATGCACACATAAGATACGCAAGGAATTTGGAGAATGATCGCCTCAATGCAGCCTTGGATGAGGCTGTGACTGGGCGAGAGCTGGTGGATGAAGAAACTGTGGTGAGATTGGACCATCAATCATTGTTAAAATGGTGGTTGAAGCAGCAAAAACAGGAAATTTAAGCAGTGAAAAGCAAAGAATGCAATTGAACCGGTGTGATAGGGAAAATGGTGGTTAACCATGGGCTGTTGCCGAACCTTATTTTCACACAAACACATATATGCTACCAGGAGTTCCATTATTTAACTATATTACATTTTGGATTGAGCAAAATCAAGTAGCGAAGAAGCAAGATTTTTTTTGTTGTCAAGTGTTAGGTCTTCATCCCAGCTTGACAGAGATTCAGCTTCACCAGGTGCTTAAAACTAGGTGATGGTTCTTGCGCAGCGAAGATCACAGCATGAATCACGGCTCTCCATCTCTAGCTGCTGGGAACCGTTGAAGGCAACGCAAGCCTATGCCGCTTTCCAGCTTTCGGGCGACCTTGAAGGAATGGCCGAATGCGTGCGCATCGTGTGGAACCACAGGAAAATAGTCTTGGCAAGTCTGCCAGCGAAGGTGCATGTGACATGTAATCCCTGAGAAATGCCGGAAAATAATTCCTGAAAAATCCTGATTCAGTACTGGATTTGATGTGATAACTTGATGATTTCGGGGGGATTCAGGATGGAATTGAATTAGCTCAGTTCTGTATGCCTACAGCATACTTTCTGTTGAGTCCTTGGTCCTTCGGGTTGAAACATCTCCATGGGGAATGGCAGCTGGGATGCCCCCGGTGACACCCTCAGCCCCAGGTGTCTCATGCGCTGTCACGTCAAGGCTTGCGAAAGCAAGCTGTGCAGTCAGACACCACAGGGGAATCGGATGTGTTACCGTCCAGCAAATTCATCCATCGAAGAGACCATTGGCAGATATTTTTTCTAGATGTTTGAGGGATACCTTAAAGGTCTTCGATTATCCATGTTACTTTGCTGAAGGGCATAGAACTCGACCATGAAAATCAAATTAAAATAGCAACCCCATGAATCAACAGATGGATTTTCAAGAAAGATGGAGCATCATCAGTCAAACATTCTAGGGTAAACCAGTGATTCCACGGGTGCAGTTTTTTTCTTGTGAAGATAAAATTAACCAATTAATAATTAATTTGTTATCGTTTTGATGCATTTATACTCGTATATATATATACATGCGTGTGTAAACCTGTGTGTGTCTGTGTGTGTGTTTGTGTACACTGATCAGTTAGCATTGACTGACTGACTCACTGTTTGATTTGATTCGATTCGATTTGATTTGACTGACTGCCAGACTGATTTACAAATTGATTGCGGGGTGGTGCTCTGTCACAATCTGCCGCGCATCTGCACCCCATCGCGCCTCCCAACCCAGGATGGCAACAGAAGAACTGGAGAACTTCCGGGCGAAGAATCAGAAACGCGCTGAGGTCCAGACTTCAAGCGGGGCAATGCATTGCTTAAGAGGGGTCAGGTGAGCAAACCGCCAAAAAAGACAGTGGTCAAGGATTGGAAAGATTGTTGGTAGAGTGCGCTGATGGCGTGCCACTTCTTACCCAATCTAGGAAGACGATAGCCACTGTTTGACAAGGAGAAGGTGGAAGCATCAACGCAAGCATTAGATACTAGAATACCTAGAATGCAATAGATAAACAGATAGATATACATATGTGCGACGGAGAGACATGCGTACATGTTACATGTACATGTTCATTCTGCATGTATCTTTTGCATATGAATATGAGTTTGTTTCTATTCACCCCAGTGGTTGCTCAAACTGGGGCCCAACCCAAAAGTAAACCTGTCAATGATGCGCCATGATGCGCTCAAGCCAAGACATGTTGATAGGAGTGTGACCAAACGCAACCCTGGCAGTTTGAGGAGTAGCTAGAAACAACCACCTTCAATCCCACTTCGTCCATGTTAGCTATAGTTGCTATAGTTGCCATTATTAACTCTCTAGTATCCCAAAACCACTCTGATGTGTGGAAGTGTGACATGCATTGACCTTTGAAATCCTTTGAAATCCTTTGAAATCCTTTGAAATTGTTAAGGTTGTGTACAACAAGCAAGTAGGAGCACAAGGCGGTGCCCATAGCTAGCTCAGGCGCATATATAATAAGCAAAGTAACTACATAAGAGTTAACGGATATTTACGGCAGGTATATGAAGGTTTTCCAAACTTGGGATTCCTCAAAGTCATGGGTTTCAATGATAAAATTGTCATTCATGACTTGGATTGGGCCTGTATTTGTGATTGTTTCATGTTGTTTCCCATTTTGAGAAATGTCCATATCTCTACTTCATGCGGTTCAAAAACCCCACATGGCCAGAATGTCCCAGGCCATGATGCTGTTGTCCTTGGCCGAGATCAAACTGAATCATGCAGAGAAAGATGCACGTCGCTTGCTGAAAACGGACTTTTGGGGCGAACTTGAGCTGAAAACATGGGGGTATTGCTGTATAACACCTATTTAGTAACTCAAGTAGTGGCTTGGGTGGTTGATTGGGGGGTGGGGTTGTGGGTTCAAGCTTTTATTGTCCTTTCCAAAGACTGGGAGATGGTTCACATCTTTTCCGTGAGCCAAAAACACAGATCCAGAAAATGCCATGGAGATCTACTGTTCAATTCTGCTGCTGTTGTTGTTGTTGTTGCTGTTGATGTTGTTGTTGAAGAACATGCTGGGCATCCATCAGCACACCTCGCTGTAGCTCCTTCTTTGGATACTTAGCAAGAATAGCTGGGGCCACCATACCTGCATCCCGCGTCAGTCGCGAAAAACTGTCAGCTTGCACTGTAGTGGGGAATGGCCTAGCTAAACTGGCGCCTGAACTTAGGAAAACCATGAACAGCATGTTTATTATATTTCAAATGGCTCATGGCTTCCACCTTTCAAATCGTTTGTCTTCGTTCTTAGCTATATAACAAGAATATGTATGTATATGTATATATATATATACATATTATTACCACGGATGCGCAAAATTGTGCAAATGTAGTACCCAAACATTCCAATCACTTTGTCGCTATTTGTGCATTCGTATTGACCCACGGCGGCGCGTCCAGGGGAGGAGGCGTGTCATTTGGCCAACCAGGCCAAGCTCGTCTTCAGCAATCTCAAGGACCGATCTCAGGGGAGTCTGGAGCGCAGGAATGGAGCTTGAAATGTTGGGACGTGGGCTTTTCTGGGGAGATTAACCATGAAATATTATGAGATATGAAAATTTGACCACCTAACTTAGTGTCCTAAATGGGGGAGAGAGGCTAGGACAAGTGGGGATATAAATTGGATATAATTGGCATATGGCCAATGATGATTTGGATGGTGGTTTCAAACGAGTACAGAATTTTATGTTCATACCTGGGATGATGATCCCCAATCACTGCTGTTGCAGGATCGCAAAATGGAAGGCGAGAGCTGCCTTGTCATCACACTCAGCCCGTGGGGACCATGACTGTGGCTTGAGAGTCGGGAGTAAATGGTCCTTTGGGCATATGGGGAAAGATCATGAAACAACAGGGCTAGCATGCTTGTCCAATCTTGCCCACTTGTCAGTGATGCTTTGACGTCAACCATTCATGTCAAGCATTTTCTTTTAAAGTGTGTTTCCGCATTGGGCAATGACACTCATAGCGTTTCTCAAAGCAACTGTTCCCACGTTTTTGGTAGCTTACCAGGGTAGATTGCCGGAGCGCATTAGATACTCTACATGTTTTGTTTTGCATGTTTTTTCCCGAAGCTCCTGCGAAGGTTTGTTCCATGCTGCCAGATTCACCTTTTCATTTCATCTACGTTACATGTATTTACATGTCCTACATTTTTCACATCACCTACATAATCTACATTGACTCCTTCATCTACATCCCATTGGCCCATACATCAACTGCATCTCCTACATCTCTTTTGCAGTTGCATCCCTGCATGGTCTACATTAACTTCAACCATCAATTTCATGTTTGTCACATACATCATCTACATCAACTTGATCTACATCACACATACCATCCACATCACCTACATCAACTTCAATTGTCAACTTCATCTACATCACACACACACCATCTACATCACCTACATCAACTTTAATTATTAACTTCATCTACATCACATACATCATCTACATCAACTTTACTTACATCACATACACAACTCTATCTACATCATTCACCCAGCAGTTACCACACAGGAGTTCTTACATAGTACATAGGAGTTTCTGTGACAGGAGTTATTACGCAGGAATTGTTATACAGGAGTTAACTTCATAGGAGTGAACTTCTAGGTGACCTATATGTATCCAAATCTGTAAAAGCTCCTCTGTGGAAAGCCTTCTGTGCATAAACCCGTGATTCTGATTGTCGCCAAGGCGCCAGCCTCGGAGCAAACCTCCTGTGGGGAAAAGCATCAAACTGTGAATATATATAATTATATAATATATGAATATCTGACATTTGACCACCATCATCACCGTCATAATTCATCATTTTTTTTGTGTGTGTGTGTTATCTTCCCGTCTCATCCCTCTTGCTTTCTTTCGAGCCACACACTGTCGTCTACTTTCTTATTTCCTGAGTTCATCATGGCAATCCCCAAACCAATCCTAAAATACTGGTATAGATGAAACCTGTTCCATGAATTTGTGTTAGTACAAAACCCGCATGGGTGTATCGAAAAACTGGGTACCCATAAATCTACAGCTATATCAACTGGTTAACCATATGTTTCCCCAATGAATTTAACAAAAGACGCATCCAAAAGTCAATGTGTGTATATATATATATACACATATTAATTATATACACATACATTTGTGTGTGTTTGTGTGTTTGCATTCGTTTACATACCTACAGTATATTTACTACAAGTTGATTTTCTATCCTATTGTACATCCCATTGTGCATCCAATTATATATGCCCATGTATCGTCACAAAACCAAAAAAATTGCTATATACCAAGCGTATACCTACTTGGATGTACATCCGCGAATTGAAACTGGATCATTAAGCATATATATATATATATAATTATATATATATAACTGGTGGTATATCCACATGATATCCACTATCAATGGTTTTCCATTATAAGCATAAAACACGTTCTATTATTAACCATTATAGCCATTATAAGCCGTTATAAACCATTGTAAGCCATGTGTAAATGAATACATACATACTCACATGTTTGTTGGTTAAAACTTTCCGGGCCAGTCGCCCATGTGACCTCAAGGCTCACGGCAATGCTCTCTTGAAATCGGGAGCAGCTGGAAGCAACGAGCAAGCGATAGAGGTGCCTGCCGGCCTAGTGTCAGATAAAGTGAAATCTGCCTGCTGGCTGTTTTTTTTGTTTATGGATGTTTATGGCAAGTTTCTGATGATGAATATTGTGAATGTTGTTCACCATTATTGTTGTAGTTGTATAGTTTTTTCTTTTCACAATTATCTAGTATCAAATATTTCACTACTGCATCACTATGTTGGTTTAGCCATCTTTCGATGTTGGTTATTGTTTTGATTGTGATAAGTTTGATTGATCATACTGTTTTGTTTAGTTTGATGATTTGATTTTATTATATATATATATATATCTATGTGAGTTGTCGTATGTATACGTGTTCTCTTGATTGCAGCCAATTAAATATGACGCTGATGATGATCACCATCAGTACCATCATCAAATCATGCCGATGATCCTCAGTGGTCCGTCCTTTTTTTTTCCATGGGTGGTTCTGTTACCAGCCAAATATGATTGTTAAAAAAAAACAAACAGCCTGTCATGGTTTACCACGTTCATCATCATTCTCAGCAAACAGTATCTATTTCAAACAATACTATCATCCACTAGTGCTAGTTTCCTTAATGATCGCCGCCAGAAGTCCTGAGTAAATTGCTGAGATTCCAGATGAATGTTTTCAGCCACTGTGCCCAGGACTTGGTCAACCACATGTGTAGGCATTGTTTTGGGTATATCTATAGTTCTCTATATCCACCATAACCATATATATGGTTGGACGATATCCACGGCAATGATATATATATATACATGATTCTGGATGATGGTATGATAGATATTCGAATATAGGTGCATATGTTATGTATGTCATTTTGTTTTCTGTTGTATAATATGTTCAAATATTTTTATTGAATGTATATTTTTTTGTAGGCATGCTACATATGTAGCATCTGCTACGCACCACATTCGACAAGGATTGAACACACCAGCGCGATCCTGTCACAGCTTTGAGACTTTCCAGGAAGTGTGTGAGATGGTCCCCAATGGGCCCCAATGTATGTTTTCCGATCCCATACCTGTTGTTCATATTTTATATTTGTTGGTGATTTGTGTGCCTACTACTCTGATATGAGATGTTGTGCACTGTTGTTGTATATTGGTAAGGCAACGTGTTGAACGCCGCGCACAGAGATCAAAAGATCGCAACGTGGATCACCGGTGGCATCGCCTTGCAGGTCTTTCAACAGGCGCGTGAGATCTTCAGAAGCCTCCAGAGCCTGTTTGGGACACCCAGCAACTTTTTTGGAGCCTTGGGATGGTGTAGTTGGAGCATGGTTTGATGTTGGCCATAAATGGTGATACTGGGATACCAACGCAATACAATGCCCAACCAGCATCCAGCTAAACACTAGTTTTTGCACAGTATATATCTGGGATTAATCACGTTGCAAGGCATCAATTGGCATACTTGGATACCCACGTGACCACACTTATCACTCCATCTATGGTCCACAGCAATTTCTTGGCATGATTCAAGTTCGATTTTTTTTTGATTCTCTCTTGTCCTTGATGCGTCATTTGTGACTGCTCTCAAAGATTTGTTGGCTTCACTTTCCCCTTAGCTCATGATCCCAAGTGATTTTCGTCCTGGACGGAGCCTCATTACACCTAAAAAATCAATGTCAAATCCGTTGGCCTTGAGCTGCTGTGGATTTTCGGGGAACCCAACAGTTTCTCAATGGATGTCATTGATGAGGTTGACAATAACGTTTCCAAGTTATGGTGTCAAAGTGAAAATGGCATGCCCTTTCTGTAGTTTCATGAGCTACTGCAGATGCATCCGCCTCTGCGCAAAAAAACTTGCGTTGCGCGGAAGAAGGGTTTGAGTCAAACATGTTGTTTTTGGAAACTACCAAACATGGATGCTTTGATACTGATAATTTAGTAGTGTTTGATAACATACACATGTGCTACTTATTGTCTAAACTGGAGGCCGATGGAGAGAGAGAGAGAGAGAGAGGGAGAGAGTGAGATCCTTACGACATCTTATATATATATATACATATGAACATATAATTGAAAAAACAACGCAAACGCTTGCCCCCCATGCACCAAAATATGCCCCGCCGCTCAGCACGCATTCAGGGCACTGGAAGGTCGGGCTCTACATGGCCGGGCATGTTGCAGCGCAGCAGGCGCCACCGAGGAACTGGGCTGGGAAATCCCCGAAGCAACTGGGCTATGGGAAAATCATCGAAACAAATGGGTTGTTTTCCAGCACATCATATTTGATTACGACAGGATAATGGATGAGAATGGGTATTTACAGTAGTGGGGGTATCATGGGGATCAAATCTCGAGATTTATGGAAGATAGTCATTACGATTCATCCAGAACATGTAGAATTCACATTGATTCACCAACAAAAATACAAAAAAATATGGAGATAGTACCGTAATCCCCAAATTTTTATTTACCTCTACTGTTCTTCAAAGTTGAGATGATCAACTACCGTAAAGCTTGTGCGTCGCCGGTGATTGGGCGATAATCCCTGTATCTTAATTTGCAGGTGGTTTACATCCCAATTTGACGTCCATTTTATAATAGGTGATTATGTATGTACTTTATGAAATATCTATAATGAAAGTTTTACACATATACAAACATACATACACAGACACACACACATATATAATTATATATATATATCAATTTTATCCGTAAATATCCATCAATGTCCATAAACATAGCGAGGTTGATATATAATGTACATCCCAATAGAGCCCACGGGATAACAAAGGAGGGAGGTTAGAAGTTGTCCCCCATGAACGCTACCCATTAGTCCAAGTTTCTCCCCTATGTTGGCTCAGCTGGTGTGGTGTCTAAAGCAGCCAGGTGGTTCCTTTGCTGGAGCTGTGAACGAAGCCAATGAGGTGGTTCTGCGTCCACGGAACGGAAACCATTGCCTTTCTGGTTTCAAATAGTTCAAATGATGTGGGAAACTCAACAATAAGAACACATCCACAACTTCATCATATTTGACCAGACATGGGTTGGAGAAAACAAGCCCCAAATTGGGGACCACATTATCCTTTCACTGGAAGACTGATGAAAAAATACGTAGGTATAGTGTTATAACTAGTTATAACATCAATTTCTATTTGGCATTTCATGGCTTTGCAAGAATTGACAGGTCCAACGTAAAAACCATTAAAAAGACATGTTGTACCTGCCAGAGATTTTTTAAGAGCTTCCAGAGGCGCAGAAAACTGAGGTTTTCTCAGCTTGCAAAAAGGCATTACCCCATGAAATAGCAGTTGGGTGTGTGCGAAATGGGGTATCTGCAGTATCCCAGAATTGCCATCTTATATGATCTTATATGTGTGGATAATGAATAATAATGATGGAAATCCATTGCAACTGGAGCTGTTCTGAAAAAAATCTCAGACAATCCCAGACTTCCATTTGCGGGCCATCCCCAAGCAAATCGCTGATAAACAACTATGGCAGCCATGGTTTCTTGTAGATTCAGGTCCTTACCCTCTGGTAATTTAAGAATATTTCAGATAGTTTCAGATAGGTATGGAACATCAGAGTTTTTTAAATAGATAATTAAATAGGTACCCTCTGGCAATTTCACATAGCTATCGAAGATTGACACTTGTAGTTGATTTACCCATCAAAAATGGCGTTTTTTTTCCATGGTTATGTTAGTTTACCAGAGGGTAAGAGTATACCGAGCCAACTGTTGGAATGAAAAAATGAACCAGTCACGCCCAGGCCTTGAGCTGCTTCGAGCAGTGCAGGAACGAGACCTTGCAGCTGGCCGTGTCCACGCCTTGAGTGGGTGAAGTGCTGGTGAAACCAACAAAAAACGTTGCGTCAAGCTTCAACCAAAACTGGTTAAGCTGGGTGTATCCTAGGATATCATGGATGTTTTCTTGGGATCACTTGACTTGGATGATTTCTATGAGGATCTCTGCCACTTAATACCACTTAAGAGATAGCAAATCATGGGAAGAGTAACATGGAAAAGCCGACGACCCCCGCGGTGATGAGGATCCTGGGGGTCTTTCGCGGAATCCCGGAGGAAAATGAGGGATCTGAAGACTTACCCAGTAGGCTGCCTCAGGACGGAGGTGCAGTACACAATTGATATGTATAGACACAGGTGACGTATGGATACAGGTGAATTCCATGCATGTTTACAAACACTACAATACACAACACGCACACACACACAAATGTATGTTTTAGTTAGTTATATAATATATATATATATATGTGCATATGCACATATGCTGCACCACATGTTCGAAACGTAGGTGCATTGGTGCATGTGTGTGTGGGTGCCCGCAGCTCTGGACCCAAATATGGTTCAGTGCCATCAAGATGTCATTTCTTTTCAGAAGTGGGTGATCTTTGAATCTCGAACAGGTTGGAAGCCATTAGTGGTTGGCATCTCGAGGCGGGAGATGGGATGGGAATGGCCCACATTATCCCACCATTTCGTTAACATTTGGATTTTGGCTGCTGGCATTGTTGGCCAACCCTTTTTGGGATCCCTAAAGTTGCTTGCCGTGGCAGTCCGGGGAGCTTCTCTTGGCACGAAACTTTGCGGAGCAGAGCTTGGCTCTGGGGCAGCAGGTGGGAGCCTGTCATGGGAAGTGTCTGAGTGTTTGATTTCATGTTGCTATAGGTTGCTACAGGTATGTATTATTGCCAGCATATAAATTTTGGTTGTGTTGTTGTATCAGGCAACCCACCGATGATTTATATACTGTAACACTGCAACTCTGTGCCGTGGCCCATCTGAGCGGGCCCAAGATCGTCAAACGTTACTGTGACTTTTGCCACCGGCAGATTTCCTGCAGCCCCGCACGCGAAGCGTCTTGCCTGCGCACATTGGTCCGGGTCTGGAGCCTTAGCCTGAATAGAACAGCGCCCGGTGTTGTGGTTAGTGGTTAGAAGCGTTCTTTGAAGGGCCATGGGGCCATGGGGCTCGGCTAGGCAAATGACCCATCAACAACCCATCAACAATGAAACTAGCCAGGCTATAAAAACTCCTGACCAAGCGAATTTGAAGTGAACCGCAAGGATTGATGTCTCAGTGGCAGTCTTGGAGCCGCAGGTCTATATCCAGCAGGGCACCTCCTCCTCGGTGCTTGGGAACTGCCTTGATGCGGCTGGAACCTTGGGGACTGGGCTGGTTAGTCGGACCCTTAGAGGATGGAACTGCAAGTCCATATCGTTTTGTAGAGAGTTGGCCCTGCTTTTTTCTTGCTTACTTTCAGGGTGCTGAGGTCTAGGGTGTTTAAAAATTTGAGTTCTTAGACATCATGGTGGACTTGCAGATCTGCCTGTAGTTTGTGAATCTGTGGGATAATCCTTCCCATTGACTAATATTTTTCAAGATGGTTAAAACCACCAACCAGGAATATGTGTGGCAAAACAAGTTAAACACGTCTCATTTCGACATTATCTTCCATCACGGGATCCGGGATTGGATGTCCTCGAAATTTGAGCCCCCACACCCCATCACCTAGGTCCGATGGATCTATACATGTCCCACCAAAAAAAACACATCCTATATATAATGGTTGGTAGGTGTAACAATCCCAAAGTAGCCGTATTTCAGGTTAGTGCAATATATTATAAGTTACAATAAGTTACCCAGATAAATTTGATATTGTTCACTTAAAAGGCATTTCTGCGGCGCCCAAGGTGGAGCGCTTTCGGTCCATGAATGCACGGGAGGCTGAGCCTGGAGTCTAAGCGAAGCCGGAATGATCTCATGCTTTGGGGCCGTAGACAACCCAGTAGCATCATTGTAGCATCCATGAGCAGGCCATTCTTGGTGGGCTTGGATGGGATTGGTGGTTGATGTTTCACATAGCGACATACTGTACCAACCAATCCCTTTCCCCATCTCCCTGTTCATATTGAGGAAAAGGCACCCACTGGATGGTTCCAAATCTGTGGGTAAATTATGTAAATTATAACGACCTCACTGTTCTCCCTCACTGGGAATGGTGGTTAGTAGGGGTGACTATCCTCAAATGACCGCAAGTTTCAGGTTAGTGAATTATGAATAATTATTACCCTCTGGAACGTAGTTATAGAAAATCACCATGGTCACCATTATTTATGGGTAAATCAACGAACTAAATGGCAATTTTCAATAGCTATTTTCGATTTCCCCTGTGGTTTTATGGCCTTACCAAACCGTGGTTTACCCGCGACGCGGGTGTTGACAACATACAGGGAGATGTGGGGGATGGGCGATGGGATTACTCACTATTTGTGATGTTTCATTTGCCTTCCACAAAAATATGTTTCAATTTATCCAGTCAACCCATGTGTTTAACAATAGTTGGTTACATATATACTGTATATATATATATATTAATATATATCCCATGATATCCCCATGTATCATGATTTGTTTGCATGAATATTCCCATAAAGGGACACCCATGGATTAAATATCCCACAAAACAATATATCATACAAAAAGTAAAAAATACCAATGAATTGGTTATAAATGTATAAAAACCCATTATTGATATCAATATTCCAAGATATACCCATGATATCAATAAGCTGTAAGGTCCATAGCTCTTTGTGCCTTGGTCGAGTGCTCCATGGCTTCGCAGGCGCGGAAAAATCGTTGAGTTCTCACACGACCTTCCTTCTATTTTTGTTCCTTCAAGTATAGCCACCTTCCCTCTCAAAAAATCAGAAAAAACACACATCATCATCCAATTGGTAGGTTTGTTTGTTTTCTTGTTTGTGTGACTCCTATATAGTAAACACACCCGGAGGCATTATTCAATAGTAGATCTATTCAGATAGAATGGTCGCATATGGTCGCGAGGTTATGATTTTGGGGAGGGGGTTAGATATACCGTTGGTAAGTTTAGGCAGGTTGGGTTTGACCCAGTTCACGCAGTTTCTGGGAAGATACATCCATTATATAGCCAGTTTTGCTTGAGCAGTATGACTGCTAGGGTGAGGTTAAATTATTGTATGGATAGCCCTGGAAGTCCGCCGATGAGATTGGCCGGCCATGGGTGTTGGCTATGCATTGCAAGCATCATACGCATCCATTATAAATAAGGCAACCTTCAAAAAATTGAACATTGAAATCCAACTAAAATAGTGATCAATGAATTGCTGTGCTACAATTTATACCTTTTTGAGGTTTAGTATGCATATTACATAAATATTATAATCATATGCATATGATATGTCTGTGATGCTCTTATCACATTCCATGCTAAGGGACGGGCCCATGGGATGTCATGGCTATAGCTTTACCGAATCAGGGCCCGGGTGGGACCTTTCTGGCCACTGCCGGAACCGGCAGTCTTGACTGATGGCGATGGAGAGAGAGGGAACTTTGACATTACCCAGTTCGGGCCATTTTCCCATTCAATCATATTATAATAGGCCTAATATAATTAAATCCCACTTGCATATACGCTTTGATGTGCCTTTTGCCTCTATAAAAAATTCTGCTGCGAGTCAAGACTGCATAGCTCGTCAGGACACGTTGGACAGGACTGCGCAGCCTGCAACGGTTCTGCCAAGCTGGCTGTAGGAAAAATCATCCAATAAGATCAAAAATGGTAGATATAAAGGACTGTGAAACAAATATGGCAATGTGGTCTGGAAGAACTTTACCGTTCTTGTGGGGCCTTGTTTGCAAGGTTTGATTCCGTCAGCACGATTTCAATCTCGCTATTTTTTCATAGGGAACCCTGTGGTGGCTTCAACCATGTCTTCACAGATTGGCTAGTGGCTGAGTTCTTGGATTTAGGACCCAAATTAGGACCCAAACGTGTTCAGCTTAACTCAGGCCTACATGATCATTGAATCTTCCAGTTTCATTTGCTTTCCAATTTCCAAGCTGTCTTTGCTTTGGATCTGCATCTCTTTCTCCGTTTTGGGATCATGCTCACAGGCGATTTGCGGATTGGTAATTCTTGCCCCAAGCAAACAAGCAAACATCCAGTAAAAACCGTGGTCTAGTGCTGGAATTATGTATTTTGGGGTTTCACATTCATGATATTCATGGGTTTATCGACAAGTAATGATTGGAAAGTTGTGATGGCATTGCATCTATACCCTTTGGTAATATACGATATCTATGGAAAACCACCCATTTAGTTTTACGATTTCCCCGTTTAAATGTCTATTTATGGTGAATTTGCCTGTGATGTTTGAGTACCGAAGGGTATATCATGATATGACGTTTCCCATTATAATATATAATAATATCATATATATATATATGTCTATATCTATATCACACTTTTGTTTCGTTGTTTACCCATTAAACCAGCATTGAAACCACCATTTCATCAGGGTTTTTTTTTACCGGCAGCTCCGTGCCAGGAGCCTGCAAGCCGCCACAGATGCGTGCTTAGCCTTTCGGGACCCAGGGATGCGGATTGATTGGCATGAAAATGATGGGGATTATTGGGATTTGTAGTGATTTTTGGGAATTTATGTTTTTTTTTTTATTTATAGATTCTAGATATTTATAGTATTTGATTGGACTTTTAAATGGTGACATCAAATATGAATGGCATAATCCTGGGGATATCATATGGGATATTGTTGGGATAGCAGTTGGGAGAATACTTGGGGATAATAAAAAAGGGATCCATGATATAGCGGGAATGTACCCTGTGGTGTCATCAAACATGCCTGAAAGAATCCCACCGGCCAGTCAGGTTTGATTACCAGAGGATGGGGGTCCTTAGAAACTGATGATGATTTGTTGATGATGTTTGTATTACAACCACACTTTTTTCTACCCAAGGCGTTTTTCCCTTCCATTATTTTCCTTTACATTATTTGGTGGTTGTGTCCTTCGATGGATTGAGCAAGACCTTGATGCTACTTATAGCCTGGCTTGGGCGGTTGGCGCTTCTCACATGGGCATTCTGGCTTTGCAATGTTTTGCGCACCTGCCTTCATGATCCTTCATGTGCAGTCTTGCCAGACCCTCCGACGGAGGACCAGGTCCAATAACGACCTTCCTTGTTCAGCAGACTTGATGTTCCACATTTTTTTTCATAGCTTATCATGTTTTTTCCTTCCCTTTAATCCTTTAGATCAGTTACATATTTGTCCACGGTGTGCGTTTGTGTGTGTGTATGCGCGCGCCGTTCTAGAAGCTGCTACATGAAACACGGGCAGCAGCATAGTTGATTTCATTCATAGTTTGCTTGAATCAAAGCAAAGTCACCCTTCCGCATGATCAACGCTATTTCTCTTTCATCACTTCTAATTTACTACTGGAACTGACCCCTCAATTTTCAGCAATCGTAGCGATCGGCACCTGGTACCTGCGCTCAATTACATGCTTTTGTCCGAAAATGGGTAGCACATGTGGCACATGGTACCTCAAATTTCCAGGGTTTAGACGTGTTCCGACGCTCATTTTCCCATGAAAAGTGGCCATGAAATTCGCACGTGCTCGTGCGCAGGAGTTGGGAGATACTCATCAAGAGATGGAGATGTCAAACCCCCAGACCCCTGGGGACCTGGGGATCTGAAACAGGTTACTGTTGGAGTCCCTCAAGTTATAAGAAATTATAAGAGTGCACTCTTGAAGAGTTCTATGTAGATCATCGTAGATCGATCTCAAGGTGATACTGTGTGATACTGAAATTGGGAGGACATTTTGGCAGTTGCATCATGAAAACCGTGAAACAGTTTGAGGTTCTTCCTTCGGTTGGTGCTTGGACCTTTTGTTCTACGTCTGTCTAGGTCGCAATGAGCAGTCGTATGCCTTGTTCAGAAGTTACAGTCTCCTACATGTTTGTTCTTTTTTTCCAAATGATACTTTAGAGTTATATATACTAGCTATGCAGACCTTTTGAGGTCTCAGTTTTTCTATACAGACATGAACATACTGGACTGATAGAATACGGTACCTTATGTGCTCAGGTGCTGCACCATGACTCGCTTATGCCTTGAACATCAGCAGTTCGACCAGGCACCGGGTTCGACTGGTGGAGGTGAGCAGTGGTGTCCACCAAAGCAGTGGATAATTGCTGGGTGTCACTTCCACGAGTACATAGTGATATGCAGAGGACACTCCAGGGTGCACACAAAAATGTATAGACAGATAGCTTGCGCACTTTAAATGCTGCAAAGCATGTTGAGGACGGTGAGGCTGGTTGAAACCTCCCATCAAACAAGTCCCACCTGGACACTGTTTTCCCTTTCCTTTGCGGACAACAGGCCCAACAAAAACCATTTGGCCGCATATGTGCCATGGTCAAAAGTTGCACGTTGATTATGAATGTGGTACCCCCAATGCTATAAACTATAAGCCACCACCTATTTTACCAGAAACATGTTGGATTTCAACCATCCAAAATTGCAGCCTTATGGCATTGAGTTTTTCACATTGAAACTCCTTGTGTTGGCAAGTTCATGCTTTCCCTCTGGTTAACTAGAATAAATCTGGGGAATCATTTTTTTAACAGGTAAGTCTACATAATAAGTCAACCATAAATGGCCATTAAAAAAATGGCTATGTCCATCCCCTGAAAAATCCGCCAAAGGCCGAGGATCACGCGCGTACAGCGCTACATTTGGCGAAAATTGTGGATGACAGGCCGGGGTGGCCGAAGTCCCCATTGGTTCGATGATTTAGCATATTTCAGCTATTAAACATGGTGACTCGTTGGTGGTTTGGAACATGAATTTTGTGACTTTCCATATATTGGGAATATTGATCCCAACTGACTTTCATATTTTTCAGAGGGGTAGGTATACCACCAACCAGGTGATGTTTCATAGCCATGTTAAGTTAGCGGAGGGCAATCATCATTAATTTCAATATCGTGTCAACATATCTGAAGATAGTTCAATCACTCTGATTTGACTATTGCAAGCTTACACGCACTCAACACAATCATTGCCTCTGGCGATGTTGTTTTCTGCAGCTCTTGCCCTTAAACAAAAGCGCAATCCCCAGCACTGTCCGTGGGTTGTTGGATGGTAGCCCGTGTCACATGGACCTTACCTTTGCAGAGGCTTGCGCAGAGTGAAGCTTTAGGGCTCTTGGCTGAGGTGGAGCCGAGTCGTTCTGGTGCTGACGGATTTAGCAATGATACGACTTCAAAGGTTTTCTGAGGTTTTATGCAACTTCTACCATAGAACTATAGAACTACTATTGTACATAGGTTTGATTCACATGTTTTTTCCCCTGCGGCCTACTATGATCTACAGAGATCAGAGTTCCTTCATCGATGGAGTTGAGTCCCCAGAGTCGGAACCCCCGAGATCCGAATTTTCTCATTCAGATTGCCATACCTCAGATCGACTCCAAGCAATTGCCATTATTTAAGCCATTCATATCCAGAAATCCAGACAGATAGCCTAGGCTACCTGAGTTCCGTTAGTACTTTCGTTAGTACTTGTGGCTGGGTTTGCCTTCAATCGCTGATTTTTGTCCCTTAAGTACTTGTTCTTCACTTGTGCAGAGGGGCATCCCTTTCGATTCCTCCTTGGGCAGAGTTCATTCAGACTTGGCTAGAAGTCGAACAATGGAAAGCTGTGTTTATTAAGCATTGAGCCGCGGACAAAATGTGACCAATGCGTTTACCATGGATCTCGGTTACCATTCTACATTCTAATATCAGATCGCTACCTTTCATCCATCCCCTGCGCAGGTTTTCCTCCTAAAACCCGGCGGGGCTGAGAAGGTGCGGGGGTGCTGGCCTGAAATAGCTAGATGATGCTAGATGTTTTGATGCCGGATCATCACTGGGATGTAAGTTGTGTAATATTATATATGATATTGTATGGTTAACCCAGTCATGAACCCGCAATTTGGGATGGTTGAAATCCCAGTTGAAAAAGCACCCAAAATTTCTGGTAAAGTCGACCAAGTCACAATCATGATTGAATCTCTTGGTATCTATTCGTGGAATTTATTCTGGTGCTTGACTTTTTGCACTAAGCGAGGCAGTGAGCCTTTTGAAGAAGGACTGGCGGAGCTGGCTGGGCCGAAGGGCCGAAGGGATCAGATTTGTGGCAGGGGTGAAACCACGGACCAGAAGATGTTGTATGCCTTTTATATGCCTTTTTGTGCTTTGGGATTGATGATTCTATTTTATTGTTTGATTATTGTTGCCGATTTTTTGTCCAAGTCCAAGCCTTCTCCGATTCTCTAGGATGGACAAGTAATTTGCTCAAGAGTATAGATAGCCTCGTTTTCATATACTGTACCATTTGAATTGGCGTTGGAGTTTAGCATGAATTATGCTGACAGCTTCATTTGGGAAGCATGGCATTGTCCATTGCGCGCGACATGGCCGAGTCATTTCGTGGTTGTCCCTTTTCATGAAGGACAATGAAAAGGTTGACCCTGGTTTGGCGCATGTGGTTCATGACCCAGTTGCAACATCACAGGAGATTTGTACATCTCAGATTTGATGCTGGGTCTGACTGAATCTAATACCCTTATATGAGTTTATATGCCCTCTAGTAATCGACCGTGGCTAGCTGGGAAATTTCCCTAAATGGAGGGTTGTAGCTGGGAAATCATCTAAAAATGGTGAAAAACTACCGAAGGGCCATGATGCTTACAGAGACGGGCGGAAAATCCACCGTTGCAGGGTCATGGGGTATAAATGGTTATAAGCTATCTCATGACTGGGGATTACATGTAACTTACTTGAAGTCCAAATAAATCATAATAGATCCAATCCAATTTAAACATAATATAATAATATCAAATATCACCTTGGTTATGGGGAGACATGGGTTTCTTTGAAGATAAGGCCGCAAACCTATCCCTGTACTGGTCGTCACGCCCAATGTGAACACGATAAGATCCGCAGATGTAATCAGATTTCAGAGTTAAATCACCATAGTTGAATTTATTTGTTTGGTTTTAGCAATCCCACACGGGTAGACGTGGGCACTTACAAGCCCCAATGTTCATAATGATGCCAACGGGCTGCAGGAGCACCTCAGTTGTCAAGATTCAGGTGACGAGTTGGGGGAGGCTGGTAGACTAAAGCCATGCTGGTCAAGTACTTTGTTCGGGAAGGGGCAGGTATCAATGCTTTTGTGGATATTTTTCTGATCCGCTAGTACAGCAATCATTAGCAATCCCCGAACAGACAAGACGACTTTGAAAACAGTAGAAACCATGGCTTAGTCCCGGATTTGCTCTTTTTCGGATCCCAATGAAACGGGAACCTGATTGAAGAATCGCTTATTGTTTAAAATGGAAACGCTTGGAAATGCACCAAGTGTCGAGGGCAGACTTCCCTACAACACGTGAGCCTGTGAGGCGTTGTGTTTGCTGTCGCTAGCACATGCCTACATGGAGCACATTGCTCAGTGCTGGGGAAGGTGGTGGGACTCAACCAGGTGAACCAGGGAAGTTGCAGCTTTGGGCCACAGTTGAGTCGAGGTTATCTCTACCCGAATTGTAATTGCAAGATATTGCATGTTTGAAGTGGGAGCAGGCTCATATCAACCCTTATGACTGGAAGGTACCTTTATGCCTTGCAGTTATCGACTCAGCCACTGCAAATTTGCCAAGTTTAGTTGGATAAATTGAGTGAAGCCTATAGAAGGAGAATCCGGCCAAGGAAGTCAACCTGGCGGCCCTTATGTGGCCCACAGGCAACCATTATTTTATTGTAGATATTTCTATTACAATTAGCACAAGATATACACATAGACACACGCTTATATAACTTTTATATATATATATAATACTATTATATATATATTATATATATATATTAATATAATAATTATTAGTGTTCTTCTTTGTATAAATAAATATATATATATATACACATCCATTTGCAACGATACACAGTAACTCCGATTGGGTCGCAACACCATGCAAGGGTGGCCTGCCTTGGTGGGTTGTAATGCGGACTTCCCTCCGGTAACCCCAGGGAAACCCACATTTTTATTGGAATCTAATTAAAATTCAATCTAGATCTACAAATTGATATCAGTATTTTTGATATTTGAACCTATATCTATGATTATCTATGATTTAAATGGGCAATATGTTCATTCCCAAATTAGTACATTATAGGGGGTCGCAAGACTTCCCCGGGTGGTCCAAGTCTAGTAACCCCGCTCAGCATGTCTCTACGAAACCAGGTTGAGTAAACCAAAGGAGGCGCGCCCGCGGCGGTGGGATGCGATCTGTGCGGTGAGTATTTTCAGATCCACTCACCGCATCCAATCTGGGTAAATTTGATCACGACCTCACGTCGCGACCGAACCCTGGAATCATGGTTTAGATATGGGGAAATCATCCCCAAATGGCCGCAAGATTCAGGTTAGTGAAATATTATAATTTACCCAGATCCAATCAATATTGTATATAGTTGGTATAAATCCTTTCAGGTGAGGCTGAAGGCACCTTAGATCATGAGCATCCCAATATTCTGCACGGACAAAGCAGTTCATCAACTTGCAGCCGGCTATTTGCTTATGCATTCCCGAGTCTATCTTGTCCGCTATAATACTGACTTCAAACAAAGCAACCAACCAACTTCATTAAAATGAACAAGAGTTCTGTACAGGCAAACCAACCGTCTGACATCATTTCACCATGGTTGTATCATGTTGCACTGGAACTTTGTCGGATATGCCCTCTTTTTGGACAAATCTATGTACAGTAGCTGGGGGTTGTAGAATCCTTGTCAAGAGATAGCCCACTGATGGGACTCACAATATAGAACACACAAAATAAAAAGGACACTTCCTAAATTGAAGGCCATCCACCAACTAGGACACACCACCATTGGTCCATTCGTCCCCAGGTTTTATCCTCAGCTGATGCAGCTCGAAAGCTCTTTCGATCCCTTGGAAACAAGCATGGCAGCTCAGTGGGTCGGCAACCAGGCATGGCTCAACTTTGGGGCAAGGCCTACAAGAATTGTCGTGTTTAATATAAAATCCTGGTCGGTGGTTTCAAACATTTTTTATGTTCATTTATGTTCCATATATGGGATGTCATCCTTCCCATTGGCGAAGTCATATTTTTCAAGATGGTTAAAAGCACCAACCAGAAATCATTCCATATATTAGTCATTTTATTGGAGGATATTGGGGGGACGATCATTTTGACACAGAAAAGTGACTTGGGATTCAGTCGTCTTCGTGTGCGGGTGAGATCTGAACACCCTGCTGCAAGGATATATCATGTGTTCCTCATTGGTTTCAAGTATCCAAAGACTTGACATCCCTGTAAAGGTCGAGTCAGCATAATTACTTTCCGACTAGACATGTATTAAAATGATTCTTCCGATCATTTTGGTTGGATGGTTGGACGGTTGGACTGACCCAGTGCAGTATTATGAAAGCATTAAAGCACTCAACAGTTGACAGGGCAGCATTTGATGCTTTACAAGATCAGAAATCATCACCAAACTCAAGCGCCTAGCAGTTGGCTACCCTCTGGTAAACTAACATAACTCTGGAAAATCACCATTTTTAATGGGAAAACTCACTATAAATAGCAATTTTCAATAGCTATGTTAGTTTACCAGAGGGTATCTCCTAATTAGTGGTTGCCACAGCTCGGTCCAACGGTGGTGTTTGCAGTCTTGAATCTGCTCGGTCCACGGCACTAGGCCACTAGGACCAGATCCAACAGATTATGACCTCAAAAGTTGGCTGCTACAGAACCATTTTGGCTCAGATGATGTGTCATTTTTGGACAAATCTTTGGCTTCCAGTCCATTCAAAGCGCCCCATATATTGCGGCAGTCGTGGCTACCGCGATATGTGGGAAGAGTTGCGACATGGGAGCAGGTGCTATGTCAGACGACATGTCGGCAGTGCAGCTGCTGAGGGCAGTTGGGAAGCTGTGAAAGAAACTTGACCTGTGCGTGGTATGTAAGCATGGTGCGTATGGTTGTTTGAAACGGAGGAAACCTACTGTATGTGTTTGTTGAACCAATGCTTGGTTTTGGGAAGCAGAGTGAGCAATGTCAGGATGGATCCCAAGCAAAGATGTTGGGCTGCATGCTGTTTGAGATTGTAACCATTTTGTTGTTGTGATCATAAATGCCTTTCTTGAGATTTGTTCCACTATTTGTGAGCCCTGGCAAAGGCAAACTTGAGTTCTATGACGATGGGGGAACAGTTTCTATGAAGCCGTCCCTATTATCATGGAACCCTGAGTGGGGTAGGGGGGGGAAGTAGCTTATCATATAAGAGCCTAATAAGGGCTTATCAGATATCCCCAACGCCGGGGAAAACTGTCTTTATTCCCTGGTCCAACTATTGACCATGAATGAAACAAGAGATCCTTATCCAAGGTTTGTTCAGGGTTGGTTGAAAACTGATAAGGGCTTATTAAGGGCTTATCAAGGGCTTATTCAGGGCTTATCCAGGGCTTAAAGGATAAGCCTTGAATAAGCCTGTTTCCCAACCTAATTTGCCTACCCCCCAAAAATCCTCTAAAATGCCCCCAACCCCCAACGTTCCCAACCACCCTCCGATCCTCACCCAAACCTTCCCAGACCCTCCCCAGGCCCTTCCCCTCCGCAGACTCTCCCATACCTTGGTCCTAGGCTCCTTGGCTGGAGACTTAACCAGGCCTTGTTCAGAGCTTAACGGATAAGCATCTATTAAGCTTCTAATAAGCGCTTATTAAGATTTTATTAAGCTTCTAATAAGGGCCTTACACAGAAGCCCCTAATAAACCTTTATATGATAAGCTACTTACACCCCCCCCCTTACCCCCCCAGGGTCCATGATATTAGCCAATCAGATAAACATCCATCTCCGTTGGCCCATTTTGTCAGGTTTAAAACATGTGATTTTTCATAGCCCCCATTAATCTGGTGAACCCACTGCCAAAAAACAGTCCATTTGGTGATGGTTCATACCATTTATCATGAGTTTTGGGGGATTGGGATAGTTTTTTTATTAGGTTTACCACATGATAAGTCATATATTCCCAAGATTATACTATACAATCATATACAATCTACAGTATACACATTATGGTTGATATAGGATCACATTCTGTTCAACTATATAATGGGTCATGGGTCCACCTGAGGAAGTTTACCAGGTGGCTGCAGTCGCTGGTACGTTGCTGAGCTGCATTTGGAGGCGCCCAACGGAGAAACTCACTGATTTCTTGGTCGTTTTTTTAGTTGAGGTGTCCTAAATAATGGGGGTAGCCCGGTAGCCCCAAATCATAGTCATTAGACAATTTTTAGACCATTTCAGGATTGAAAGCAATGGTGACTTGGGATGTTTTGGGGATCCCATATTTTTAGAAAAGTAGTTAATTGACATTCCAGTAATTGATGGTTTATTGATTGTTTCTAGGGTGAATGGGATCCTGGCAAGTCATATGAGCCATTTCTTGAGGGTGAGCCTGATCTGTGGAAGTCAAGTGTTTGGACATGTGTCAATTTACCTAGCCATTGAGAATCCACAGAACAGTGAGAATCCAAGCCATTCATCCACTAGTAGAGATTTGCATCACCATGATCATTGGTATGTTTTTTAATTCGGGGATGGTCATCAATCCAATTTTTAGAAAAAATTACTTTACTTCGTGTGATCCCCACCATGACATTTATACATGTTCTTACTGGCACATCTTCTGGCATTCTATCTGACATATCTTCTGACATTCTATTTGGCATTCTATCTGGCATATCTTCTGGCATATCTTCTGGCATATCTTCTGGCATTCTATCTGACATATCTTCTGACATTCTATTTGGCATTCTATCTGGCATATCTTCTGGCACATCTTCTGGCATTCTATCTGGCATATATTCTGACATATCTTCTGGCATTCTATCTGGCATTCTATCTGACATATCTTCTGACATTCTATTTGGCATTCTATCTGGCATATCTTCTGGCATATCTTCTGGCATTCTATCTGGCATATCTTCTGGCATTCTATTTGGCATTCTATCTGGCATATCTTCTGGCATATCTTATCTTCTGGCATTCTATCTGGCATTCTATTTGGCATATCTTCTGGCATTCTATCTGGCAAATCTTCTGGTATTCTATCTGGCATATCTTCTGGCATTCTATCTGACATATCTTCTGGCATTCTATCTGGCATATCTTCTGGCATATATTCTGACATATCTTCTGGCATTCTATCTGGCATTCTATCTGGCATTCTATCTGGCATATCTTCTGGAATATCTTCTGGCATATCTATCTGGCATATCTTCTGGCATATTTTCTGGCATTCTACCTGGCAAATCTTCTGGCACTCTATCTGACATTTTATCTTCCTACATGAGGTCCGGCAGGGAACACTTGGCGTGGATACTCGCGGTTGAGGTCCGGCAGGGAACACTGGGCGTGGATGGTCGTGGTTGAGGTCCGGCAGGGAACACTGGGCGTGGATGGTCGTGGTTGAGGTCCGGCAGGGAACACTGGGCGTGGGTGGTCGTGGTTGAGGTCCGGCAGAGAACGCTGTGGATCGCGGGTCGCAGTTGAGCAAGGACGACGAGGACGACGAGGAGGACGAGGAGGAGGAGGAGAGGAGGACGAGGCAGGACGAGGCGGAGGAGGAGGAGGAGGAGAAGGAGGACGAGGAGGAGGACGAGGAGGCAACTGACATAAAATCTAACAACCCTCACCTGGCAGGTGGGGAAATAAAAAGCATTATATATATATATATATATAATTGGATTGACATACCCATTTAAAAAAATCATGAGGATGATATACCCATGGGAATTCTTATATGTATATATTATATACCTATTATATGCCTTGTAATTAATCATGAAAATGCATCTACCAATACGGATTCCCCTTATGGGATAACTTTTGACGCCGTGGCAGGACGAGGTCATCGACTGCTCCAAAGCGATGCTCGATTTTTTTTGGGGATGGGTTCAAAGCATCAGCGTTGGGATTCTTTTGGATAAACTGCAGATATATATATATATATAAATAAATTATATATATATATATTATATTATTTTATTGTATATTATATATATATATTATAGCGTGTATACACATAAAATTATGATTATTACTGTAATGACTATATGTAATCATGACTGATCCACAATTCTGAGGCTGGGTGCGGCTAATGCAGATCCGTTTAATTGTAGTTAGTTGGATTGATCAGATCATATATTCAGATCATATAACACCCCTTTTTTCCCACAATGATTCTGATTGCTCATCATTCCATACGTGCAGATGCACTGGCTATAGACCTGAATGTTACTGTTGTTTGTTTCCCTAAAGATCTTTCAACCAATCCAAGTTGCCTGAATGTCACTTAAAATGTCACTGATCAGACCTTGCGGCAATGCACATGTTTGCACACAACGTTTGTTTCGCGCCGTTGTCGAATCCCTGAGGATTCTTCCTTTACCTTCACGGATTTCCTGATCAAAGTTTAGATCACCGGAAGCTGGACCACCTGAGCGGCACTGCTGTAGATTCTGTAGATCTTTGATCTTTGATCAATGGATGGCTTATGACCACTGGAAAATCCCATAGGAAACCATGGATGAATTGGGGGCTAGCTATGGGTAGCTCCATTTTTAGGAAACCTCCACATGTTTGGCGCGATTTTCTTCATAGGGAGCCGGGAGAACCAAAAAAACCATCCCCCAATGACAAGTCTCGGTCTCAACAACCATTCAGCTATGGATGATTCGAGTTATTATGCGTGACATTTATTATATGTCAGGAAGATCTAATGTATATGTGCCAAGAAATTTCAATCATTATATCATTGTTCAATGCTCTGATGGATTCCATTGGCTATCTCTCGATTGTATACGCTCATTCTCAAACCTGCTTGAAGAGGCTGCAAATTTCTTGACCATGAAGGCTGTACTCTGTCTTTCAACAATAGATATAATTTTCATTGTATATAGGTTTGTCCATGTTTTGTTCTTTTTACCTTCCGGAAATCTGGAAGCATACATTTTTTTTTGTTGGATGGTTTTCCCATGTTTCTTTCAAGAAAGTCTCCTGTTGATGGTGGATTTTCAGCTGCCACAGGGTCCACAGGGCATCACCGGCCCAGGAAGGAACATCCAGAGAGCTACGGCCAACTGCGACCCCAACTGCCCCGGCGTTTGGCCGAGAAGTTTCTGAGCGCCAGAACCTGGACGCAGCAGAAGATTACAAGGTTAGTAGATACAATATGAGTGTAGGAACCTTCCAAAAATATCCAAAATTTAAATGATAGAAGTTCGGTAAATTACAATCCTAAAATAGTTTGACAAATGATTCGTCTATTTTTTTTCCCGAGAGCGTCTGAGCGCAGGTTCTTCCAATAGTGGGGGTCTGTATCTCATCTTCTCATCTTCACACCTTCTCATCTTCACACCTTCTCTCACACCTTCTCATTTTCACATCTGCTCATCTTCACATCTTCTCTCACATCTGCTCATCTTCACATCTTCTCTCACATCTGCTCATCTTCACATCTGCTCATCTTCACATCTTCTCTCACATCTTCTCTCACATCTGCTCATCTTCACATCTGCTCATCTTCACATCTGCTCCTCTCTTCACATCTGCTCATCTTCACATCTTCTCTCACATCTTCTCTCACATCTGCTCATCTTCACATCTGCTCATCTTCACATCTGCTCATCTTCACATCTGCTCATCTTCACATCTGCTCATCTTCACATCTTCTCTCACATCTTCTCTCATCTGCTCATCTTCATATCTTCTCTCACATCTTCTCTCACATCTGCTCATCCTCACATCTGCTCATCTTCACATCTGCTCATCTTCACATCTTCTCTCACATCTTCTCTCACATCTGCTCATCTTCACATCTGCTCATTCTCTCACATCTTCTCTCATCTGCTCATCTTCACATCTTCTCTCACATCTTCTCTCACATCTGCTCATCTTCACATCTGCTCATCTTCACATCTTCTCTCACATCTGCTCATCTTCACATCTGCTCCTCTTCACATCTGCTCAACTTCACACCTTCTCTCACATCTTCTCACCTTCACATCTTCTCTCCTTTCTCTCTCCTTTTTCTCTCTCACGTCTTCTTTTTATCTTTCTCTCTTAAGGCCGAGGGTGGTGCCGGCGGTGAGTCACGAAACGTCAACCCTTTCGCACGAAATGAGGGTCGATCGTCAAAAACTGAGGAAAAATTGCGATTTGACTTGTCCTGGAGCAACCCTTTCGCACGAAATGAGGGTCGATCGTCAAAAACTGAAGAAAAATTGCGAGTTTAATTGTCCTGGAGCAACCCTTTCGCACAAAATGAGGGTCGATCGTCAAAAACTGAGGAAAAATTGCGACTTTACTTGTCCTGGAGCAACCCTTTCGCACGAAATGAGGGTCGATCGTCAAAAACTGAGGAAAAATTGCGACTTTACTTGTCCTGGAGCAACCCTTTCGCACGAA